TTTGCAAAAGGATAAGGAAGATTATACAACATTATTATTTGTAAAGATAAATGAAGATTTTAAAATAAACTCGTGCCCGGGTCAGTGAAACTCATAGCTGAAAACTAAGTCGCCCCAGTTCAAGTAATGCATGTACAACGAACGCCAGTCCTCCGCTTAGTCCGACCAGCTCTTGAGGTCTCATCAGCTCGCATTAATCGAGCAGCTTATTCGTCCAGGTACCGATTAATCATCTGCTTATTCGGGTCGCGTATTTGCGCCTAAATGAAGGAGCCTCGATTACAGCCAACTCAGGAAAGTGAGTTGGTTGGACGGCCAGGCCAAATGGTAGGCAGGACAAGACAGGCATTGGTCGGGATGGCTTGAGGAGGCTGGAGAGGAGAAGGGATAGAGAAGGAGGGTAAAAAGGTCGGTAACGGGATATGCGGGCGTTAATATAGTTGTCTTTAAAGGGTGAGAGACTAAGGTATATTGGCCGATCGATCCACCGACAGTAGAATGGAGTCGGGAGGACGGTCATGTCGCCGGCCGGAGTTGCTGTTCCCCTTGAGGACAGGTGAAGTGGATGTCTGTGGAGCAAAAAAGTTACAACCTTCTTCATACTGTTCTATCACAAGGACATACAGGCTGTGTAGGGTCAAGAAGTGGATATGCTGTACCATGTTTGCATATACTCTTGTCTCAGGGGCAAGCCTAGAAAGTGTCCCGGCGAAAGTAATAGACGGTAATAATCAAAGCTACTCAAGCTGACTCACTGCCACCCATACGAGATGTCAGGGTTAGAAGGCAGAGCTGAGAGGTATAGGGCAATTTTCAAGACGATTTTCTCTAAGGTCAGTCAGCCTTGCAATACAGCAAGATTTGGCAATCCCTTACAGGTTAGTGATGCCTCCTTGGACGGTGAAGAGCTGAGGGGAAGAATCGTAAAAGGCGAACGGCCAAATCTGGCTCGTGGAAACAGTTGGCGAAGATAAAATAGATTAGCGACGCAAATACAACCCGAAGTGGTGACACGCAAAAATAAATGGATTATTTTTTCTCAATTCTTATCTACATTTTGGCTTTTCTACGGCTCCGGTCACACCTAAGCCACTTGTTCTACATGCATGTGCCGAAGATTCGAGAAGCTAGAGTCTTCAATGGTATTTGCACAGCCAAGGCACGAGGTTAGTTGGCTTTTTGTTCCCGAATTTGCGGCAAGATTGTATTGTCAGTAATAGAAAAAGTGAACCTGCTTTCCTCTGAAGAAGGCAAACAGCGTAAAACGCATCATGCCTATTTCGTGTGTAAGTACTGCGATGAGGAACGAATGGGTTGAAGTAAAGAATGCATAGTAAAAGTGAGACCACAAAGTTCTGAGGCCGAGAGCTCAAACTTTGAGGATGATTTGGCCTAGCTTTTGCAACTTTGTTCTCTCCCTAATGATATAATGGATCGTTGATTTGACCACATTCTCAGCTACAACTCGTAAAAGAGAGGAATAAAGTAAGTTGTGCATATAATCATTAGGTTGACTCTCGCTTTGTGTCAAATTGTGGGGTGAGCCTATTACAAGAAAACGACGAATTCCCTTATGTCTACCCTTTTCTCAAAATGTCTCATTTGATTCAGATGTAAATGCACTGTGCATTCGTCTAACAAGCCACTTGATAGATGGAGCTAATTCCAACTAAACTTCAAGCATTCATCGAATCGAGAACGTAGCACATAAAATAGCAATTCCATTTTTAGCATGGGTTCTTCCCAAATCGGACTGCCGGTTGGGCCCGGCAACATCTGCATCATCTTCATTCTTAATACTGTCTTTTTAGGCTCTTCGATTGTTCCAATCACAGTCTTTTTCTCTTCACTTCTTATAGGCTCAGATGAAGGGGCAAAAATTCTCTGA